ACATCAAATAGGTAGTAGGACACTGAATTCAAACCCAAGCCTTTTGGCTCTGAATCTAGAGCTTCAACTTAACTGCAAAATGTTCACCAGGACCAGAAAACAGAGCATTCCCCAATCTTTAGGTTATTTTCAAAATTTTCAAAAATTTAGGTAGTAAAGCTTAGCTGCAAAAGTGAAATTTATGCAAAGTTAGGACTGAAGGGTTTTGTCATAAATATCTACTGAGAAGTTAAGCTGGAGGCTAAGTCAGATTAATTTTTATTGATGACTAAGGTCTATACCTCTAATATCTCATACATTGATGCCTTGAAAAAATGTGGGAGTGGTTTCATGCCATCTTTCCCTACAACTGGGAAAATAATTTAACATATAAAATACAATTGTAGGGAAGCAGCAACTCCACGTTTTCTTAGAAAAAGACACCATTATAATTAGCTCTATTGAATTACAGAGTGAGTTGTGAACAATGTAATCACATCTTTAACTTCTGACTATGTAACAAATTTCATCTAAATCTATTAAAACAGGTTGGGGGGGGAAGGGAGGAGGAGGTTGAGTTGATTTGAAAAGCTTTATGTTGTTGGCTGACTTCTCATTTAAAAAAAAACCAAGCTGAATTGTAAGTCACCTTTTAGGCACATCTCAAATCAGTCACAACCTTCAAAAGTTATTGGATAAGAATTAAACAGCGAAAAACTCATGAGTCAGATTTAAAACAGAGACCCTATTTTATTAACTCTGTGAAGGAGAAGATACTCTTTCCTTATGAACTCTGTCACAAGTGAGAATAGATAACAGACATAGGGGATGTACCCCTTAACATTGGGCTCCAGGTGACTGCCCCAAGGATTTATGATTGGCATTATACTTTTATCTTTTAACATTTTTACCAGTGACTTTTATAAGGTTTGGGTGAGAGGCTTATCAAATTTGCAAACAAACCTGGGAAGTAAAGAAAGAAAAAGGCATTAAATAACAGTCAAGATTCAAAAATGTCTTGACAGGCTATAATACCTGACAACAAAGCTGGTTAGTTTAAAGGGAATTCTTCAGCTATAGGTTTGGACTAGAGGACCTCTGAGGTCTCCTCCAATTCTGAAATTTGTGATTAAATGCATCTGAATAAAGGAAAGTATTTCACTTACTAGATATAGTTTCAAAGTTCCAAATATTGTTTAAAAAAAAATAAAAACAAACTCAGCCTAAACAAATTTGTGCTACTAGCAACCAACAACCATGGCATGGAATTCTTTTTCCCATTATGGGGATGGCTTTCGGTCATTCACCTGGTTTCCTTATGACCAATGATCTATATCCCTGGGAAAAGGCTGGCTTTATTTTAAGTATGTGAATGGTTCAATGCAATCTATCTGTACCAGAAAAAAAATGACAACAACAACAAAAACCAAACAATTTATGCATAAAACCTAATGGGAAGCAGTAATTTTATACAAAAGGCACTATTATTATAACTAGTTCTGTGAACTACACGTGAAAGTGTGAGTAATGTCCTCCCATCTTTAAGGAACTTCTGACTTTCTTTTCAAAAGAACTGTGCTGTTGTCTAAATTGAATGGTCTCAATTGGAATTGAACCCATAACCTTGTTTTTATTCTCATCACATTCCAACTGTTACAGTTGACAGTCTTATCAAATAAGCCCCTGAGAGAAGCTATGGCTCACAGCCACTAATATTTGCATCTTGATTCCTGTTCAACCCTGCATTGATTCCCAGTGAGATAAATGTTGTTTGTCCTTTGAAGAGCACTGAAAACATCACAGGGTGATGACTTGCACATAAATTGGATTTGGGTGAGGCAGAGTTGCTCAAAGTTGCCAGCTACACTCTCTCTTCCTGAGTCATCAAAGTCCAGTGGCTGGACAAAAGTCAAAATGACTGGCCATAGTCTGTAGTATGACAGTTGATGACCTTAATATCTTCAATGTCTAACCAAACAATGCCACCTTCATGGCTGTTGGGACAAATTGTTCTCATCTGCCCATTCCACTGAGGAAAGTCTTCACATGCTTGGGGTAGACATTCCCCTCACTTACCAACCAGTTTGAGGCTTGTCCATCATAGGAAGCTGATGAGGGATGGGAGACACCACTGGGGTAGGCAAAGCATCAGAGAAAATGATAAAAGCCAAGAAAGATGAGGCTATCTGATTCATTGGGACAGATTTGTGAAATAGGAAACCAACTTTACACATGAATGAATGAATCAATCAATCAATGAAAAGGCGTATGTGCTTACTATATACAAAGCATCGTGCTAAATACTAGGTACACAAATAGAAATGGAAATTAGTTCTTGTTCTCAAGGAACTCATTCTAATAAAAGAAAACAACCCATGTAGGAAGATTCAGCTGCAGGGCAGATCAAAAAGACAGGATGCAGCAGCAAAGCAGATGGTAATCCATCTTCTTTAGTGTCATTGACATTAATAAAACACTTGACTATTATTAAGTAGTAACATTACCAAAGTATAGTAAAGATCATTTATAAGTTTCAATCCTTATTGACCTCAAAATAAACCTGTAACACAATACTATGGGTAAACATCCAAATGATTTATTGACACTGGTTCATAGCTTGTAAAAATCAAAGCAAAAGCTTTATAATGTGAAAATAATTTGACTTTCCTCTCCCCTCTGAGTACAGTATAACAACAAATGAGGACAGCGATCTATTTTTTTTTTCATCTCAACCTAATACATGGGCTACTGAATATAGAGGAAGTAGCCCAGTAATACACACACAGCTGGTTGTTTAACATTCACCAGCAATTACTACCTAGACCGCATCCTCTTTCAGAGTTGTGTGATGCTTTAGTGGCCATGAGACAATGGTTAGCAGTCCCTGTGTCCAAAAGAAGTCATTCTTTTCTTCCTTCTCCTTTACTATGACAAACTCCTTCCATATGCAGAAGAAAATACAATTCACTTTGTTTTTGCCAAAATACTTATTAAATTCCCTGAAAATAAATGTGCATAAGAAATCAGGTCAAAGTAGCCATACGTGGAACTAGAAAATTTATTTTCAGTGAGAAACAATCTTATAAAGGTATATCTGAAATAGCAAATCCTCTAGCACCAAGCCTGCTTTTTAATAAAAGTCAGTGTGAGAGATAATATAAAATGTACCCTTGTTAAAAAAGCTGAAATGCATTACAAATGTATTTCAGTTTCTCATTGATATCATACTGCATTAGCAAGATTTATCAGTGACCTAAGTCTTTTTTATTTTTATTTTACCATCATTTTTTCCTTACTGAAAGAAGAAATGAAACTTTTTCCATGTACCTAAAAAAAGAAATATTGATCATTAACACAATTTTACGAAGAATGGATCAATATTTACATACGTGTTTAGTACAGTGTTTCAAGGCTGAAAAAAAAGGAAGTATTCCATATGCACTAATGGTAACTCAGATTTATTGCCATGAATTCACCAACCAGGAATTTATTTTGTGGTACTGAAAGTTATACAGTTGTTGTTGTTGTTTTAACATGGAAGAGAAGGAAAGGGAGAAAGAATGAGAAATATAGAGAAATAAGGAAGTAAGGAAGGGAGAGAGGGAGGGAGAGAGAAAGGGAAAGAAGGATGGAGGAATGGAGGGAGGGAGGGAGGAAGGAAGGGAGGGAGGGAGGGAGGGAGGAGGAAGGAAGGAAGGAAGGAAGGAAGGAAGGAAGGAAGGAAGGAAGGAAGGAAGGAAGGAAGGAAGGAAATATATCAGAATATGACAACAGAAATGGAATAAATTTAAATAATATTATTAGGAAGGAATATCCTTTGTATAAGAAGAAATGTTTGGGGGTATTTTGAACCCTCTTTGGTAATTAATTTTTGAATGATTACACACAGAATACATAATTATGATATAGTAGGTTGGTGGTCAAGCAGTTATTATATAGTATTATGGGAAGATGATAGATTCAGAAGGCCTCAATTATAATTGTGTATCTTCCACAAAGTGGTTATATGCCATTAAGTATGTAATCAACAGTAATACAAAATGGTTGTATGCCATTAAGTATGTAACTAACAGTAATATTAATTATAATTAACATTTATATAGCGCTTTAAAGTTAAAGCATTATTGTCACAGCAAACAAACAGTAGTGCAATTGCTATCACCCCCATTTTACAAAGGAGGAAACTGATGATCAGAGAATTAAACGGCAAGGCACATAACTAGAAAAAGTCAGATCTAGGCTTTGAACCTAGTCCTAATCATAAGCCCAGTGCTTTTCCCATTACTCCTTACAAAAATTCCCTGTGCCTCAGCTGACTCATTTCTAACATGGAGATAAAAACACCAATCTCATGTAGTTGTTAAGAAAGATCAATTGGAATCATTGATGTAAAAACATTTTAAAGTGCTACACAAATGTAAGGGTATTATAAATTAAAAATGAGGATCAATATGACTTACAACAAGAAACTAGCTTAAAATATCAGATTTTACTGGCAATGAAATGGATTTCCTATGGGACTCAATACATCCTCATCTGAAGGAGATATGTAGTCTGATGGTTTTAACTTAGGATAATTAGAAGAAAGAATATATGGCTAACTTGTAACCAGGTTGGTCAGCTGATGTTGTTCACATCCTTGGATCTGAGCCTGGGGAATGCCTATGACGTAAAAAAGTTTTAGCTAGTAATCCTAACACTTAGTTTATTGTGAATTATCAAAGAAAGGTAAAAACTTGAAACCAAATCCATTCCTACAATTCCAAAGCTTGAAAATAGAATTTCTGAAAATTTCAGACCTCTCCCACATATAACCATGATTTGCAAAAGTTATAAACTCTATTTTTTTCCAATTTAGCAAAAGTAAACAGAAAACTGGAGAAATTGCGAAAGGAATTTTTTAACAGTTAGGAAATTTAGAGGGTCTTGGGGGCAGCTAGGTTGTGCAGTGGATAGCGCACTGGCCCTGGAGTCAGAAGGGCCTGAGTTCAAATCCAGCCTCAGACCAAACACTTGACACTTACTAGCTGTGTGAGCCTGGGCAAGTCACTTAACTCCAACTACGTTAAAAAAAAAAGAAATTTAGGGTGAAAACTTTTGAGGGGTTTGTGCCTGATTATGTTCCATTTCAGGGTGATTTTATGAGGTTCTAGAAAATTGGGCAATACAATTACTTTTAAAATTTACTGATAATATTACACATAAAATACACAAGGGAAGAAATGTATGTGTAAATTTCGTAAATTAGTCCTTAAATTACAATGAAATTTTTAAAAGGAGAGGATATTAATTTCTGATCACAGGTTTCTCTTTTAAAGTCATAAGGTCAAACTCGTTATATCTCCTGGGTTTTTAATATTCTATGTACATCAGTCAAGTTACTCTGGGGGATGATTGTATGACAGTTGGTTTGAGCTTTAGATGATTCTCATCAGACAAATGTAAAGCATCTTTTTTCAGGTGATATTTCCATTCAATTTTCAAGTGGTTTCAGTTATTTCTCGTTATTGCAGGTGTTAGTCATTTTGGAAGGTTTCTGTAAGAAAACAAAAACATAAGGTAGAGAGATGAAACAAAAAATTTAATGCTAGAAAAAATTAGTCTTTTCTTAAATTTGATTCTTAAGAGGAATATTTGGGGAGTGCATTATCAGAAATGGTTTGGGGGATATCCTTGAACAAACTGAGTGCCTCTATATCTTTGCATAAAAGGTTCCTCTTGTCTGGAATTCACTTCTTATCATTACCTCATATCATCCTAAGCTTCCTTTAAAGCATAATTCAGATACCGTATTCTACACAGGCCTTTTTTCATCTCTCAGTTATTACAATCTCTCCTTCTCATAGCATTGTATTATCATAGAATACTATTTTACAAAGAATTCAAGACTTATCCAGAAGCAACGGAGGGGCATATTATGAACATCAGTAGATTGCAACACATTACAAATGAGGAACTACACAAGGGAAACAGCATGTCATCAAAGTAAAATAAAGAATGTCATCAAAGGAATGTTTAACCTGAGGGAAAAAATGGGTCAATCATGTAATGAAAATGATAGACAACCAATGGATAGCTCAAATGCTCCATTGATATCCATGCAATGTCAAGAGAATTTTTTTTTTAAAAAAGTTAGAACATAATGGTGAAGAAATAATTGGTAACTACCTAGCAAAGGAATTGGTCATCACAAAGAATCAGCATAATTTTATGAAGAAAAAACCATGTCAGATCAACCTTATTTCCTTTTTTTGACAGCATTAGTAAGCTGGAATATCAATGGAATGTGGTATCTCATGATCTATTTGTGGATATGATAGAGACATGCAGGGTAGATGATAGTACAATGCAAAGAATTTGAAAGTATATAGTTGAATGAATATATGCAAAGATTTATCATTAATGGTTCAATGTCAACATGGAGGATCTTCAGAGGTCCCAGTAGAGTGCCCAAGGAATCTCTGTTGGGCCTGTATTGTTTAATATTTTTATCAGTGACAAAAGTGTAAATAGCATGTTTATCAAATTTGCAGAGGACACAAAGCTGGAAAGGAGAGAATCAGGATTGCAGACTTCAGATTCTAAAGGATCCAAATAGAATAAGATAAAATTTAATAATAATAAATATAAATCATTACACTATGGTTCATAAAATCATATTCATAACTATGAGATAGAAGAGACATATTTGAAAAGCAGTTTGTCTGAAAAAGGTAAGAGGGTGTGACTGAGCCATAAGCTCCAGAGAAGTCAAGTATGAAGTGCCACCTAGAAAGTGAATGCCATCTTAGCCTGCAATAGTAAAAGCACAGTGTCCGGGACTGGGAAGGTGATCATCCCCTTACATTCTGCCCTGGTCAGATCACATACAGCATATTTTGTCATGTTTTAGGAAATATTTTGATAATCTAGAGGGCATTAACAGAAAAAGTGACAATAAATTTCTGAAAGTCTAAAATTCCAAGCCATATGAGGATCACACTCAAAGGAACTAGGATGTTTTTAGCCTTAAACTTAGACATGATAGCCATCTTTAAGTATTTGAAGGACTATCATCTGGAAGAGTCTTTAGACTTCTTCTCCCTGATCCTACAGGACAGAACTAAGAAGGTAGACTTTGCAAAGAGGCAAATTTGGACAAGATACTATAAAGAATTTAATTAGAGCTCTTCAAAGTAAAATATAAAAATAATAATAAATATGAGAACAATTTGTTCCAATGGCTAAGAAGGAGGCTGAAGTAAGCACAGTGAAATGCCTATAGCTTGGTCAGATATTGAAATGCCAAGGTCATCTACTGCATCCGAGGCCATCATCAGTCATCTTGACTTTTGTCTTGTCATTGGACTTTGATAACTCTGGAAGAGAGAGACTGATGACTTTCTGCAACTCTACCTCACTTAAATACAATTCATGCATAAATCAGGACATCACCCATGAGGTCATTGGTCCTCTTTGAAAATGAAGGACAAACAACAACAATAGACTCCATTTAAGAACTGAAGAAACAGAGGCACAAAGAATGAAGTGCCTTGTTTCAGGTCGGAAAACAATGCACTAGTACAGATGCAATTTATCCAGATCCAAAGCTCTGGGTTTACTTAGATTGGGTTAAATATTGACAGTCTCACACAAATCATAAAATGTGTCCCCTAGGAATATTAAAATTTGGTCTATGTTCAAGGCTTTATAACCCAAAGGAAGAAGTCTGTAGCTCCCATAAAAATACTCAGACCAATACATCAAATGTTGGACAGACTCTATTTAGTCTAACAAAAATCACAGATTCAGTTTAAACACATAAATAGGCAAGCCAACTCTCCATCCTCTTTTGGTAGACTTCTACAGTCACGGAATCACATCTCAGAGTTGGAAGGGACCTCGCAATTTAGTCTAAACTTTATCTGAACAAAAATACTATCTACACAAGGAATTGAAAACAAAGGACATGCTCATTGATTGGGGAATGGTACGTGAATATAATGGGGAAAAAAGGATGAAGAATTCAGAGAAGTTTGGAAAGAGAAGTGATGTGATGTAGAACAAAGAAAGCAGAACCCAGAAACCAGCATACCCAATGATTAGAATGATGTTAACAAAACAAAACACTTACATAATACCTAGCTTCTACGACTCATTTCCCTGAATAGGTAACAAAGAGTATAGGCACAAAAAGAAAACAATTCTTCATATTCCATGTTTCTGCCACAAACAGCTTACAAGTCATTTCCTCCACCACCACCATGCATGCTGACAAAAGACAGGGAGAGTGGGAGGTTGGGAGGTTGGGGGGAGGAGAGAGAGAAACAGAGAGAGACAGAGACACAGACAGAGACAGAGACAGAGACAGAGAGAGAGAGAGTTTGTAGTTGGTGGGGACAAGGTGCCTGAACAGGTAGCTCATCTTGCCTATTTCATATCAGCCTCGAATGCAATAGATGACCTTGGCATTTCAACAACTGCCAGTCATCTCCCATTTTCTTAGCTCTGGATCCTATTATTTATTATATTTTTAAAAAGTAAATGTACTTAGACATATCAAGACCAAAATCAGTAATATTATCTCATGTAAGCCTTTCTTTCTTTCTTCCTTCTTTCCTTTTTCTTTCTTTTTTCTTTCTTTCCTTTCTTTCTTTCTTTCCTTTCTTTCTTTCTTTCTTTCTTTTTTCTTTTCTTTCTTTCTTTCTTTCTTTCTTTCTTTCTTTCTTTCTTTCTTTCTTTCTTTCTTTCTTTCTTTCTTTCTTCTTTCCTTCCTTCTTTCCTTCCTTCCACTCTTTCCTTTTCTTCCTTTCTTATCTTCCTCCTTTCCTGTCTACTTTCCTTTCTTTAATTTTCTTTTTCTCTCCTTTTTTCCTTCCTTCCTTCAATCTATTTTTTTCAATCTTTCTTTCAAATGGAATCTCTCATAGTATAGTCTTACATGGATGCATATGAATGTATATGTGTATATAAGTATATGATTATAGCATATATGTATGTATATGTGTGTGTATATATATGTTTGTGTGTATATGAATATGTGTATTGTATGTTTGTGTGTGTGTGTATAACTATATCTATGCTTAATTGTAGTCTTCTTGGGGGAGAGGGGAGAGGAAGGGGAAAAAAAAGAGCAAAGTAAAAAGTATCCAGCAGAGAACAAAATAAGACTTACAAGGAAGTAAAGAAAAGATGGACAGCTCTGAACACAATGTGTAGTATTTATTATATAGGCTTTCTTGAAATGGACACTTATTGCTTTATATTTTGAATCCTCTCATGTTCTGCTGCGCACATGACAGTGGTTTTTTTTCTTATTTTGTATTTAAGTTTCAGTATTTGGGCTTGTTTCTTTTTTCTTTTCTTATTTTGTATTTAAAATTTTTTTAATTAAAAAAAAAAGAACCCTGAATCTTCCTATGTCATCTCAGGCATGGTAACTTTGACCTGCTTCATTTTTAACCTGGGCCAGCTTGCCTCTCTCCTTAGGCAATCTCATAATCCCTGCACTCCCAAAGCCTTGCCATATTGGTCCTGGAATTGGTGCAGACACCTAATTTGCTTAGCCCATTGCAGCTCAAAACTTCTAAACTCAAGCAATCTGCCAGCTTCAGCTTCTCCAGTGGCTGGGATTACAGTTGTTCACTGCAAAACCCTTATATAATATATTATAATGATACATTATAATAATATTGTGCTTAATTGTTTAATCTGTCATCCCAATAGTTCCCACTTTCATTAACCTTTGTTGCTGATTTGATTTAGGAAAATAAATGCAAAAAAGATAATAAGAATTCAAGCCTGAAGGGCCTTTTGGAGAGTGTCTAATCCAACCCCCTCATTGTAGAAGAGAAGTTAAGTGATTTGCCAAAGGTCATACACACAACAGAGCTGTGGTTCAGATCAGGGTTGTGCTGGTAATTTAATAACTGGAATCCTAAGGAGAGGAGGGAAAAGTATGCATAACATTTTAAATTTTAATTTGAATTATTAACATTTTCTCTATCTCTTTCTTAAGTTTATATAATCAGGAAAATAATAAGTCAAAGGAGTCAAGATAGCATAGTCAGAGGAGACCTTGTAGTCAAGCTCTTTTCCTATACCTCCTCAGTAAAAATCTAGAGAATGTACCAGACATAATTCTTATCAAGAAAGCCAAGAGGTCTTATTTTGTCATTTTTCCAGCCCAGCTTGGCTTAAGGGAGCTGGACAGAGAGGTCTGGGGATGTGGACTGGCAGAAACTCCCAGGAGCTGTGGCAAAGAGCATTCCAGAACCCAGGTACTGAGAGAAGGTCAAAACAGGAAACCAGAAATACATCCCAGGGATCCCTGAGAAAGCACTGGGTGCAGGAAGAAGTTTCATCCGGCAGCTCTGTTGCCTACCACTCAGTGCCAGGTCACAGATTCAGAGTGGAGAAGGGTTGTTGTTTGTGCTGGCTTTACCTGTGTGTTAAGCCCAGAACAAGTTCTAGTAAGCAAATGGTAGTTGTGTGGAGCTTATCCTAGGAGCAGAGGGTAGTATCTCAGAACAAAAGGGAGCTAGAAGAAGTCATTCT